TATATTTGTTTGTTTTGTTTTGTTTTTCCAGTTTTTCTCCTATTTCTTTATGATCATCACCTGCTACATTTCTTCTGAATTCCCTCAGTTCAATTTTTCGACAATGTAAACACTCTTCTATCTTCCTATCACATTTTGTTTCCTCTTAATGAACTGAGTTTTTACCATCTTTTAGAACTAATTGGTTTGTATAACTCCTGTCTCCACCATTCATGCGGTTGCAGTTATTACTGTTGTGGATGACGTAGTTGACACCTGCTGCTTGCTTTAATGCCAGATTTAGTTCATGATTATTTACTCTTTTTGCTATTGGCAATTACTGACCTCATTGTCCTTGATTATTAGTCATAATTGAAAGGCAAGTGACTCACTTGAGATGGAGATTCAACCAAGAGATTTTATTGGGGCTCTGCCTGAAGGGGAAGAAAAGGAGAGGCAGAGAGCAGAGAGAGGAAAGGAGGAGGGCAGAGAGAACAAGAGCAGAGAGAATGAAGAAGAAGAGGGCAGAGAGCAGAGCTTGTAAGCTTGGGGTTAAGAAGGGTTGCATAGGCGATGTGGTGGGTGCTGATTGGCAGGGTGACTCAGGAACAGCGATGGGACACTGTGTCCTGCGGGGGCTGGTGGAGAAAACTTTTGAATTTGGAGCCCTCAGACTTGGCGCCCTTTGGAGAGGAGGGGGAGGGGTAAAGATTCCATGATGTTCTCCCAAGACAGAAACTTAACTTCAGTGGGGAGTCTCCCACACACCCAACAATCATTAATGTTATAGATGTCATAGTAAGAGTCATTCATTTATTTTAATGCTGTATATAAAAAAAATTATGGCATTGTTATAACTATTATTTGTTTTCCCCTGTTCTGTGAGGTACTGAGAATCTACAGAAACACTACAAGTTCATAGGGTAGAGACTCTTCAGCTTAACTGAACTCTGTCAAAGATAGTACAACTTGCTCCATACACAAATTATTGACACTCAAACTTTAGCTATACTTTAATACAAAGAATAGAAGAAACAAAATCCCAAACTAATAACCAGGCCCCAAATAGAAATGGCTAAGGTTGGGCCCTTGAGTCTCACTCATGAACATCTACTACTACAGCAAGAGAGAGAGAGAGAGGAGAGAGAGAGAAAATTAACACAAAGACTATTAGACAATCTCAATCTAGATAATCTTTGTTAAGAGAAGGCTGTGGCCCTAGAAAGGCCCAGACACAAGAGTGGAAGAGAAACCCATCCCAACAAATGCATAAAACCCAACACAGGAATGAAAGAAATTATGAAAAAAAAAAGTAACATGAAACATCCTAAAGTTCATAATTCATCATCAACTGACCCCAAAGATATTAAAATGAGTAAAATATCAGGTAAAGAATTCAAAAGTATGATTATTAAAAATGGTGAATGAATTCCAAGAGAACACACAAAAACAACTGAATTATTTAAGGAAGTCTGTACAGAATATGAATGAGAAATTCAATAAGGAGATACAAATTCAGAAAAAAAATCAATCAGAAAGACACAATAAATCAAATAAAATGTTTGGTTGAAAGTCTCTCTAATAGATTCTGTACTGAAAACAGAATCTTAGAGTTGGAAGACAATCTATTTAGCCTTGAGGATTCAGGAAGTATTATTTTAAAGAAAATAAGTAACCACAATCAGAATACACAAGAAATCTAGGATAACATTAAGAGACCAAATTTAAAAATCACTGGAATAGATGAGGATTCCAGGATGCAGGCTAATGAAATGGATAACCTCTTCAGGGAAATGATAGTGGAAAATTTTCCAAACCTTGAGAATGAGATAGATATCCAGATACACGAGGCAATCAGAACCCCAAACATACAGGATCAAAAGAGAACCTCTCCATGACACATTATAACTAAAATGCCTAAGATACAAATAAGGATAGGATTTTAAAAGCCTCGAGAGAAAAACATCAGGTCATGTTTAGAGGTAAGGCAAACAGAATTACTGGGAATTTCTTAAAGCAAACTCTTAAAGCCAAGAGGGTGTGGAATGATGTGTTTCAAGTCCTTTAAGAAAATAATTATCAAACAAAGTTGGTATATTCTGCAAAACTATCCTTCAAAATCAAAGAAGAAATAAACATCTTCCAAGATAAGCAGAAACTAAAAGAATTTATGAAAATTAAGCCAGGACTACATAACTTAATTAAATAAATACTCCATAGAGAAAAAAAATCAAAAAACAAACCCCAGAGTTCACAAATGAACAAATCTCATTTGAAGAGTAGCTAAGAAAATGGAAACATGACTGCTGTGGTCATCTTTTTTTCTGCTACAACCAAAAGAAATGACAAGAAAAATTTTACAAGAGGAAAAGTGTATTTGAGGGCTCATGGTTTCAAACATCTCAATCCATAGAAAACCAATTCCATTGCTCTGGGCCTAAGGTGAAGCAAGACATTATGGTAGAAAGGTATGGAGGAGGAAAGCAGCTCAGAACATGGAACAAGGAACCAAAGAGAATATGCTCCAGAGACAAAATATATACTCCAAGGATATGTCCCTAGAGAGTCACCTCCTCCACCTATACCTTACCTGTCTATAGTTCTCACCCAGCTAATCCATTCAAGTGAATGAATGCGCTGATCACATCATAACCCAATCATTTCACCTCCAAACTTTCTCGCATTCTCTCACCCTTAAGTTTTTGGAGGACACCTTATATCTAAACCATAATATTCTTTTCCTGGCTCTCAAAAGCTTATGCTCATCTCACAGTGAAAAATACATTTACTCCATTTTGAGACTCTCCATATTCTTTTTTTAAAAATATTTTTAGTTGGACACAATAACTTTATTTTTTTAAAGAGAGAGAGAGAGAGAGAGAGAGAGAGAGAGATTTTAATTTTTTTTTCTTTTAGTTTTTGGCAGACACAACATCTTTGTTTTGTATGTGGTCCTGAGGATCGAACCCAGGCCGCACGCATGCCAGGCGAGCGTGCTACCGCTTGAGCCACATCCCCAGCCCAATAACTTTATTTTATTTATTTTTATGTGGTGCTGAGGACCTAACCCAGTGCCTCACATGTGGTAGTCAAGTGATCTACCTACCACTGATCCACAATCCCAGCTTCTCTATATTCTTAACAGTTGCAGCATTATCAAAAGTTCATGTCCATTGTCTTATTAGAGGAAACTAAATCTGATTAAGAATAAGAAAAAGAAAAAGAAAAAAGTTCATGTCCAAAGTCTCCTCTGAGACTCCAGACAGACTTTCAGTATGAAAGTAAAAACCAACAGTTGCATAACATCCAATACATAAAGGCATAGAGTAAAAAGGGAGAGATAGGGACATAGAAAAAATAGATGGGACCAAACCAACACCAAAATTCATCTGGGCAAAAAAAAAAAATTCTGTAGTTCCATTTGGGCAAATGGCATTGTGATTTTATTTCCAAAGCAGCTGACATGGCCTCTCTCTTGGCTTATTTCTGTTCTATTTCTGCAACTTTTCTCAATAGACATTCTGGCATCTCTTAATCTCAGGGTTTTCTCTCTGCTGCTTCAGCTTACTTTTCATATCTCATGCATTTCCCTCTCATAGGCAGCCCACAGGAACTCTGGCCCTACTGAATCTTGCCTTGAAATCTCAGTGGATGCCTCCATTACTCCCTAATTCCAGCATTCTGCATTTAAGTGGTTACCATCAAATTCTGCCACTATCTTGAGCAGTACTAAGCCTCCAGGGATGTTGGCTGTAGCAGTTTCTGTGTGCATTGAAGGCTGAGCACTGTGAAACAACTTCATAGTCCCCTCTGTGTAAATAAGGTGCCCCAATGTACTTTTCTGAAAGCAGTTTTTACTTTTCTACTCTTGTGCCTGTGATGAGTGTGGTCTTACCAATTCCTGAGGTGCTTTCCAGCCATCTTTACTATTCTTTTTTAGTAAAGTATTTACTGTTTCTTTAGTGGCTGTGATGTCTTTAACAACCCCACCTTTCTTAGCCCCAGTTTTACTCATAGTTTTTTGCCCAAATTATAATTTTTTCGAGTCTTTAAGCTGGCTACTTCTGCTCCTGATGATCACAATAAACTTGGCTAAATGACACAAGTAATCTCCATGCCACAGCCTGAATAATACACTGCCAGAATTTTTTTCTGCCAAAATAAGGAGTCCATCACTTTTAAATTCAGTCTTACAGAAATTCTAAGGGCATGGGCAAAATGGAAACTGATTCTTAGCCAGAATGTAACACAAATGGCCTCTACTCCATTTCTAATACAGCCCTCCTTTTTCCCTATAAATCTCATGAACCCAGTCTTTACTATGTATAGTCCTATCAGCTTTCTGGTCTTATCAGCTCTCACCAGAATCACCCATTAAGCTCTGCTCATAACAATCTAAAACTTTTCCAGTTTGTATCTTGAAACTTGACAAAAAATTTCCCAAAAATTCCAAAAAGCTTCAAAAGCTTCTGAACCACATTGTCAGGTAAGACACAACAACCCCACTTCTCAGTACCAATTCTATTTTAGTCAGCTTTTTCACTACTGTGACCAAAAGATCTGACAAGAACAATTTTACAGAGGAAAATTTTATTTAGGGTCACGTGGTTTCAGAGGTCTCAGTCCATGGATTGCTGACTCCATTGCTCTGGGACCAAGATGAGTCAAGACATCATGGTGGAAAGGTATAGGAAAGAAAATCAACTCAGAATATGGAATCAGGAAGCAGGGGGAGGGGACTCTGCTTTCAAGGAACAAAAATATACCCCAAAGGCATGATGACCCTAGAGACCAACCACCTTCAGTAACATCTTACCTGCTTACAATTATCACCCAGTTAATCCATTCAATTGGATTAATGCATTGATTAGATTAAGGCTTTCATAAACTGACCATTTATCTCTTAAATTTCTTGCATGTGTCATACATGAGCTTATGGGGGACACCTTATATCTAAATCATAACAAGGACCAAATTAAATATTAGGAATAAATTAAAATGGCAGAAATTAATAAACATCTCTCTATAATAAAATTAAATGTAAATGGTCTCAATCCTGCAATTAAGACATTGGCTATTAGAATGGATTGAAAAACAAGATCCAACTATATGTTATTTGTAAGAGATGTGATTCATCTTACAAGCAAACACAGTCACAGGATGAAAGTGAAAGGATGAAAATTGATATGAGATATAGCCTGAAAACAAAGAGGAGTAGTTATGCTTATATTTGACAATGCAGAGTTCAAACAAAAACTAATCAGAAAAGACAAAGAAAATCATTTCATACTGGCAAAAGTAACAGTCCAAGAAGATAAAACACTAGTAAATATTTATGCCCCAAAGATGGTGCAACTAATTATGTAAAAGAGACCTTGCTCAAACTAAAGTCTCAGATAGACCCCATTATAATAATATTGGGATATTTCAATACACCTCTCTCACCATTAGATAGATCATCCAGACATAAACTCAGTAAAGACTCTTTGGATGTGAAAATATTATAAATCAAGTGGACTTAATGGACATCTATAAAACAT